AGGACTTTGTGAAGGGTCAGGCACCATCCAAAAAAGTGCCTGTAGGTCTTTTTGCTTTTCAGAGATGGCTTTTTGCTGGTTTCGATGGTTTGAGCTCTTTCCCTATTGCTTTGTACTGAATTTTCAGGGATGGAGATCTTGTTTATGTCCAGACCTTCCCCAAGTGGGGGAAGGGAAGGATAGGCAAGGCATTCAGGGCGTTGCTCTGCCTTAAACTGACCTGGCTGGGGAGCCGGTCAGTTGCACCTGAGAAGGACAATGAACCCACAGAGGACAGCCAGAGGCTGCCCATCCTGGGTTGGATGGGGCTTGAGATGGGAACCCTATCAAAGTCATTTCTCCTGTGTGCTCTAGGCAGCAGCACTGTGTGGGAATCCCACTGAAAGTTTTCTGAACCCAAGTTTTTCAACCTGAAAAGTGGGGAATACGTACTACTGGCCTCATGGGAGATTGTTGTTGTTGTTTAGTTGCTCAACTGTGTCTGACTCTTTGCAACCCCATGGACTGTAGCCTGCCAGGCTCCTCTGTCCATGGGATTCTTCAGGCAAGAATACTGGAGTGGGTTGCCATTCCCTTCTCCAGGGGATCTTCCTGACCCAGGGCTCAAGCCTGGGCCTCCTGCATTGCAGGCAGATTCTTTACCTCTGAGCCACTAGGGAAACCCTCACAAGAGTTTGGGTGAACTAATTCAGGTGAAAAACAGTAGAGTGTCCCAGGCCTAGTAGAGACAGTATGTTGTCATCCTCCACTTCTTATCTAATAATCACCTTATGACCCTCTGATGAACAGGGGCTATAGCCATTTTTTGCCCCTGGGTTTCCTGCCAGGGGAGAGTGCAACATTCTCACCCTGGTTCTACATCTGATACTCAAAGCACTGTAAAATCATCAGATGTACTGGAATATATAAAATAACATCAACTTTGGGAAAGAAAATGCTTTGTGGCAGGGGAGGGTGGGGAGAGTTCGATACAGTGGAAGGAACATCACATCGGATTAAGTAGCAAATTTAAATACTTGACTTTTTAATATAACAACTGTCATTGGGCTCAGTCACTAAGTTGTATCTGACTGTTTTGTGACCCCATGGACTCTAGCCCACCAGGCTTCTCTGTCCATGGGATTTCCAAGACAAGAATACTGGAGTGGGTTGCCATTTCCTCCTCCAGGGGATCTTCTTGACCCAGGGATCAAACCTGAGTCTCCTGCATCTCTTGCATTGGTAGCTAGATTCTTTACCACTGAGCCACCTGGGAAGCCTTTAATAACAATAGCAGCAACAATTACTGAGTGTTCTGTGCCAGGCACCATGCTATGCACTGTACATAGATTTTGCATTTTACATCAGGACAGCCCCAGTGTCACAGGACCTGTCATTGGCTCCATTTCACTGAGGAGTGCTGTGAAGCTTAGAGGAGATAGTTTCTTGCTTCAGGCCGGAGAGCCATCAAATTCACTCTTAACCACTATATACTGAGTAGCTCCTAAGTGCCAAGTGCTTTGTATGCGTGTCTTGTGGACTTTTCACAGTAACCTGTTTCACAGATGAAGAGACAGAGGTTGAGGTTCAAAGAGAATACGTAATTGACTAACCTGCAAGTGACAAAACTGGGATTCAGTCCTGGTCTGACTCTAAAGGTTGTGTTTATCTCCCCCACAGTTCTACTGCTTTGCTTCTGGCCTCAGCTGAAGGTTGAAAGAGACTCATAGTCAAAAATGGAGATGGTATCTGGGAAAATGCATCAAATAAAGGCATGAGATTCGAGGTGATTTGACAAATGGGGTTGCCTCTGGGAGAATTGGGAGGAACCTGAAGTCTGGGAGAAGAAACTGAGAATAAACTCTGGGAATGGTTGGGAGGAGGGAGGAGGCCTGCTTTTATGTAGTGCCAGTTGCCTGGTGGTGATGCTGGCTTTCAGCTTGCAGGGGTTTTGCAGGGATGGGCACCTACATTGCTTCATTATCTGGACCACGTAATTGTGAGCAGAATTTGTGATTAAGCTAATTTGGCCATGAAGTTGCAACGCATTCCACCCCTTTTTGTACCTGATAACCTTTCTAGTCATCCACGTCAAAGTCACACCACACTGGATGGATTCTCAGAGCCTCCTCACTCAGCTTGCTTGGGGCTCAGCCAGCACTCCGCGGCCATCTGCCCAGGCTGCAAAGCTCTTTGTTGCTCTTGGCATGTTTAATAGCTTAATTTCTATTTTTCTGTTTGGAAATGCAGTTCATCGGCATTGAGGCGGCAGTGGATGCTAAAATGGTTTCTGATTGCTATCTTGAATGTTAATATCCTAATACATTTTATCATCAATGACCTGTTCCCCCTTGACACAAGCTCTCACTCCCCTTTTGCAAAGATAGGCATGCAGCCTGCCTTCCGATAGGCCACGCGGCCCATCTCATTCCTTTGCTGTCTCCCTCCCTGCTTTTCTCAGATACCATTGTACTTTGCCAATGAAATCCACAGTCATGGGAAATCTTTGACTTGGAGGATATGAGAAAGTGTTTCATTTTGCCGGCAGGGTTTAATAGGAATGATCTAATCTCTAAGAGGCATACATTATTTAAATTCCATGCTTTTGGACAAGGGGGCCCCTGAGACTTTTGAACTGTGGCAGGGACGGGATTTTGGTTGGGCTCTGTTCAGTAGAGTCGACTGATGGTTTTCCTGTTTGTAATTCAGTGCAGGGGCCAGGTTACGCTTGTGGCAGGGGACAGTACTGGTGGTAAGAACGCTGGAGAACATTTTCTTTCTCCAAAAACCTAAAATCATGGGCTCTTGGGGCAGAAGGGGTGCAGAGAGTCATCTCCTGGCATCATCAGTGTGTTATTTGGCTCCCATTTGGACCCCGAACTTGAGATCTCAAGCTCAGGTGAGTGGCCTCTGTGGAGCTACCTGAGAGCTTTCTGCCCTCCCTCCCTCTCTGCCCTGAGAATGTGCCTAATAGATCACTGGGGCCTCATCTGGGGCGGGGAGGGGCATCAAAGACCCCTGTGGGTGGAACCAAAATTCTGAGGGAAACTGTCAGCCCTCTCAACCACTGAAAGGCTGAGTCAGGAAAGAAAGTGGGGTTCACACATGGCTCAGGGAATCTGGATTAGGAGTGGAGCGAGATGTTGGGGGCAGGGACCCAAACAGCATCAGTTCACCGTGAGTTTTTTCCTCACAGTCTCAGGTGCTCCAGGTATAGCTACCTCTTCTTCCCCTCGTGCCTCTTTGGAATATCATTTTAGTACAAAGCACCTACCTTCCTTCCTGCCTAGGGAAGGGGCTTGAAGGAGTGAATAATCCCAGAATAGGCTCTGGAACACAGAGCCTTTCCCCACTTCCGCAGAGGCTTATTGGGTGTGTCTCCTGACCAGCAGACAGTAAGCTAAACACTGGGGGTGCAAATAGGATTGTCACAGTTTCTGTCAGGCTGACGATAGAGACATACTGCAATATATTATAGCTTGATAGGGGCTGTGATTGAGATGTGTGTGTGTACTATGAGAACACAAGTGAAGAGTAATTCATTCTGACTTGGGAATATCTGGAAAAGCTTCAGAAAGGAGGCAATAACTGACCTTGACCTTGGAGGAGGAGGAGGTGTTCACCAGACTGACCCTTTCTAAGTAGTACTTGCTAAATATGTGCCTGCTCTTTGCTGGACCATGGAAAAGAAAGGGAGGGTCTAGTAGTTCCTTCCCTCAAGAGACTCACAGCTTGTTGAGGAGTCCAGCCTGGCACGCCTGAGCCAACTGGAACTCTGCACAGGCAAATGGAAGGCGAGGGTGGGCACCAGGGCTGCTTGGTGATCCAGGGTTTCCGGAGTCACTACTCTCATGGAGAACACACTCTCTCTAAGGACAACTCAGACCTCAGAGGGATATTGACTACAAGAGGCCCAGCTCCCCTGACCTTGCTCATCAGCCTGCTTCTGTATAGAAGTAGCTTGCTGGATTGGGAGGTGGGGAGGGAGGGTATGAGGGTGGATGGAGAAGGTTGGTGGTAAGAATTTAGTAGGATTGGCTTTATCCCAACCCTGGTAGAGGCTGGGGTTTGCCAAACACAGGTGCCAGCACACCCTTGAGCATGGGGCCGTTCAGTTCTGCACTAGCACCACTCACATGCCCAGCCTTTGCCTATGATGTTGCTTTCATCTGGAATGCCTTCCCTTTTTTGCCCAGGCTGCTCTTTTATACTGATTTCAGGTTCACCAGAATACTTTATATCAGTTAATTCTTTTCCTCATCATTAAGCTGGGTTTGGCATTGTTCTCTGTTGTTGTTGTTGTTTTTAACTTCCCAGTGAGATATAAGCACCTTGAGAGTGGGAATAATGTCTTTTGCTTTTTTTTTTTAAAATCTCCCATGAGCAATTTGTGTCATACAAAGGACAGGGGCTTCTGGAGACGGTCTTGGCATTGAATCTCAGCATTGCCATTTACCCTGGAATGGTGAGGTCAGTTTCCTTATCTGTGAAACAGGATAACACAGTTTGTTAACCTTGACTTTGTCAGCATTTGGGGCTGGGTAATCCTTTGTTGTGAGGGCTGTCCTGTCTGCTGCAGGATGTTTAGTAGCATCCCTGGCCTCCACCTACTAGATGCCAATAGCATCACTCCCTCTTCAGTCATGACAATCAAAAATGTCTCCAGATATTTTTGTGTCCGCCCCATAAGTGTTCCTTGTGTCAAGTGTCCCTGTGCAGTTCCTTGTGTTGTCACATTTTGCTTATGCAGCAAAACTGCTTCCAGTTGGGAACCCATGGGATGGTACTGCCTGTTGGGGATGTATCAAACCTCATCATTAGTGCATCTGGAACATACTAGACATCCCATGAATGCTGATTCTCCCTCGTCCCTAATTCACCCAGCACTCTCCATGTTGCAGGTTGATGGATTGAATGGAGCTGTGACTCTAGGTTTTAGCAGTTTGGGTTGGAAATGTCATGAACTCTCAGGTTGCCCCCACGATGCACTAACAGAGTTACTGTCATTTTCTTAATTGCAGATTGATCTGGAGCCAGAAGGAAGAGTGTATGTGATCATTGATCTCTCGGGGTCATCGGGTGAAGGTAGGAGAGTGTGATCTCTCGTCATTGTTCTCGTCCATTGACCCTTTTGTCTTTTGGTCTCTCCCTTCCATCTTTGGCTGGGACATATTACAGTGACATGTAATTAATTGGCACCGTTTAAAGGAAAAGGTTATTTTGAAGATGTTTACGCCTATGTACCAAAAGAGACCAGCCATCTGTTAGCTCTGGTGGAGCAGAGGGAAGATTTTCATCTTACAGAGTCAGACCAGTAAAGCAGGCATTCCCAGGCGAAGATGCCAAGGCAGGCTTTGGAGGGGCGGCTGCCTCTGCTGGGAAGCTCGCATGGGGTTTGTGTGTGTGCAGTGGGACAGAAGTAAAGCCAGTTGGTCTAAGGGTAGTCAGAAATGAAATAAATGAGGTGCCAAATTTCAGAATCCTATTTCTTAGAGCTTTAATAGAAATGTTACTTCTATAAAGAGGGATAAATTAGGAGTTTGGGATGAACATATGCACTTAAGAACAGGGAGGTGGTGGCAGACTTGGGCTCTAAGGAGGTTGGGAATTAGGACTGAAGCTTAGTGATAGGGACCATCTTTCCTCTCCTCTTCTCTCTGAGGGCAGGGGACAGAATGCTTGGCTTTAATGTCATGGCAGAAAGATGGGATGGGCAAGGCAGGTTCCTCTTGGCAATGAGAAAAGATAGAGGTTAGAGGTTGTGGTTTGCAGGGAAAGGCACAGCTCCTGGCTGGAAGACTTGGGCCTTTTACAGCATCTCCCTGGAATCCTGGGGAATATAAGCCAAAGCCACAACCCCCAAATTTTAGGGATAAAGCTCTAGTTTAAGGTTCTGTAATGGAGGGGGATTATACAAGCAAATTCAAAGGAGCTGGTCAAATGATGCACTTGACAGGTGTGCCTGGTGATTTTTATTTGACTGTTAACACCTGATTTCAACAGGTGTTCAGAATAATTCAGTAATTGTGTGTATATGGAGCTCATAATAGAAGTCAGTCCTCTTATAATAGATCTCAATTATTTGGCATAGGTTTAAAACTTTAAACATCCTTCCAAAATTGGTCTCTTACATTTTCTGCTCTTTATTGCATTTTAGCATTTCCAACTTTCCTTCTCTACTCTCAGCTCTGAACAGCCCAGAATAGAAAACTATTGTAGAAGATTTAACAATATTTAGTATGAAATATTCAAGATGTGCAAAAAGGCAAAAAAATAATAAAATGGGATTAAGAAATAAAGCACCCAGTAAGGTAAAGCCTTGTGTTACTTTTAACATAATGACTGATCCCAAATTTACCATACTTCACAGTATTACAGTGGTCTCCTGGTTAGAAATATGGGTGAAACATTTGATGGGAAAAATCAATCCCCCCTTTCCCTTACATAATTCTATATGCCACAGGATAATTAATTAAATATGTACTTCCTGTGCCAATATGCTGGGCAATCAGTGGGAGGCTTGGTTATTTTTTCCTTTGAAAAAATTGCAAATTATAGAAGATGTCCTTTTTTTACATTAGCAGGAAAGGATATGGACAAATGAACGAATAAATAAATCAGAGGCAATTGTTTTTTTTCTTCTTGCTTCTACAGCTTATTGCATGTGAATGACCAAAGCAGTTTTCATTGGACTGAATTCTTAGTCTATTTTTTTTTTATCTCTTTCATCTAGAGAAAACAGAGTTTACTTTGGAAATGCTGACACATGCCAGACTCAGTAAAGTGCTAGCATGTGTTGCTCTGAAGAAAAGGAGAAGTTTCTCCTCTTTTTTCTTGCTGTTCCTGGATTTGGAATTCTTTCTGTGGATAGTGGGAGGGACTTCCAGCAATCTCTTCCTAGAAGCTGATCTTGGTGCATTCTGTTTGTGTTCTATGCATCTGTTCTCCCAGTCCTGCTCTGGGATGTTGAGGACTTGTGGTCCAAAGGGGTTTTGTTTTTGGAAAGGTTTGGAGGGTGAGAAGAAGAATGGAGAATAAGTAACCACAACCTTTGCTACCTTGATTGCATGGTAAGGGTCCAGGGAAAACCAGGTTTGTCACACCCAGACTGCGGACATTCATTGATTCTTTTATAAGTCCTCTTTAGTGAAAATTCCTGACTCTGTATTCTGAGAAAAGGTGAAAAAGAGAGCTGCAATGAGGCGCAGCTGACATTTTCACTGCTCTATTATTCTGCCATCAAGCATCCCTTCAGCTTGCCTATTTCAAGTGCTCCAGTCAGTCCCATCAATGGAAAAAAAGATATTCATAGCAATTGCACAAACTTTATACCACATGCAAATAGCAAAGAGCTCAGGGAAAGATGTGGGGGTGAGGCTGTGTGAATACACCCCCTTCTTCTGGGATGTGCCAAAGGATTCTTTTTTCTTGCTAACACACTGTGGAAAGCCTGGACATTTACGTCTGCTAGAGCTGGAGTTAATGTGATTTCTAACTGTCTAATAAAATTCCATTGCTTGCTTATCCTGTGTAGTTCATCATAATGGGATTTGACTGGTATGAGCTTTAGCTAAACCATGCGACCTAACCTCAGACGTATGGGGTCAGGCTGGATAACAGTTAAGGTCATTTCTGGTCATGCAGTTTTGATCTTTGGTATAATTTGAATAGATATCTGTCAAAGCTCAAGCTGAAAGCTGGCTAATATCTGTAACCAGTAGAAGGGGTTGACAGGTACTGTGCCAAGGACTTTACCTACATTATCCCATGCAGTAAACCTCAGAATGTTTTATGTGTTGCTGTAGACTTGGGTGCCTCTTGTGCGTTAGTTGTTCAGTCATGTCTGACTCTTTGCAACCTCACGGACTCTAGCCCATCAGGCTCCTCTGCCTATGGAATTTTCCAGGCAGGAATACTGGAGTGGGTTGCCATTACTTCCTCTAGGAGATCTTCCCGACCCAAGGATCCAACCCACTTCTCCTGTGTCTCCTGTATTGCAGGCAGATTCTTTACGCACTGGATCATTGGAGAAGCACTGGTGCCTCTTAGTGTTTGCTTTTATCACAGGTAATGACCATGGGGCTTCCTGGTAATCACAGCACTACAGACTCACCAGATACTTCAATCAGAGCATAATTAGCCTAGGCAACAGAAGCATAAAAAACAATGTATGTAATTTTCAATTGTGCAAATAATTATTTCCTGTTGTGGACATTAGTTAATATTTTCCCTTTGTTGTGATGTAATTCGTATATTATTTCTATTCTTTATAGTAATATGATAATGAGCCATCATTTGCAGACTCCCAGAGGGGGGGCAATCAGAGTCTGACCTAGAGATTTCTAGGCTCTTCTTCTCCCACCTTCCATCCAGGTGTCATGTTCACCCAGGAGAGTTTTTCAGAGTTTAGACAATAATAGAAAGGACAGGAAGTGGATCTTAGTGGTATGTTTGGGTCCCCAAACTGTTTCTCCAATAAAATGATGAAGATAAAAGCAATTGGAAAGATTTTTGTGGCACATCCGTCATAAATACTGCAGTTAGATCAGGTTGGGAAATTAGTACATATTGTGGAAGTGCAAGATGAAGAGGTGGGTGAAGAAGCAAGCCCTGTTTTCTTTTGCTCTGTTGCCATAGGCTTCAGAAAGCATTCAGTCTCATCTCTGGGAGAGGAGAGGAGAAAGTAAAAAGAGAGAGCCTTAGAAATCCATCAGTCAATGGACTGGTGGACTGCACTGACTGATGGACTCCTAAATCCTAGCTCCAGTGTTTACTAGCTTAGAGCTTCAGATTTCTCAGCCATCAATGGGGCTAATAGGATGTATAGTAGGTTTTGATACTGTGATAGGAATGCTTTAAGGAGAGAGTACTCACATGAAGGGGCTGCTTGACAATATCATCAAGGCCCTGGAGACCTGAAGGCAGAGGGGTGAGCAACGCTCTAACCCAGTGCTCCAGAAGGAGCAGCAGGCAGGGAAACAGTTTGAGGGCACGTTTCTGACTCTGGGGCATGGCATAAGCAAAAGGTCCAAGAATAGAGCAAGGTGCCCAAGAGGAAATTCATAGAGTTATATCTGTATCTTGCAGGGGCTATGAGATTGTTTTTTGCAGAGTTTGGACTTTCCCATAGTTTTGTCCCATTTTCTTTCTCTTTCATCACCACCCTTCTCCCACTGAAGTATTCCCCAGAAGAACATTCATTAGCTTGTCCGTGTCTTGTTGCCCTTAATGCTATAAATGTCTGTTTTCCTAAGCCTGGGCTTCTACCTTCTCTGCTCAGTGCAGACAGAACATGTGGTCCCCACATTCTCATCAGCCCTGGGTGAAAAGCCCTGCATATATTCGAAGATGGTTATTAAATCTCTCTTCTTCGGGTTGAATCAATCAAATTCCTTCAACTTTCTGAAGAGAGAGTTTAGAAATCTTATCTCATCTTTGCAACTCTCTTCTAGACTTTTTTCAAGTTGCACAGACTGGTAGACATGATCAAACGTGCTTTGCTTCTTTCTAAGATGATAATGTGTGTAGAGCAAGTACATACATCTCCTGGCGGGAGATGGTGACATTGAGAGGTCAAGTGATGTGCCCAAGGCCGAACAGTTTACCACAAGACCCTGTTGGTTCTGATTCCCGGCTGTGATTCAGGGCCCTGCCTGGATTAGGGCCCCAATAATGAACCCCCGCTGTGTCTATGTGGCAAAACCTCCTCACTGCTTTTAACAGTTTAGTTCTTTTCTTCAGGAAGCTTTTTATAGAAAGAGGAAGGTAAAGTTTTTAGTTTTGAATCCAAAGGTGACCCAAAGAATCCCTTTCATAAATAAGCAGATCTTTTTCCCACTGAAATGAAATGAAAACCTACTTGGTCCCAGTTTAGGAATGGTCAGCTCCTTTTCAGGCTGTCTGTAAGATGCATCCATAACTAAGTCTTGGTCGGGCTCAAATCCCAGCAGATTAATAATCTTTCTTACCTTGTGTCCATGGTAGGTGTTAGAACACTGCCTTCAGGGTTGAAATAGAGAGGCAGGCTTTCCTCTTGACACTGCCACTGGTGGTTTTTATCTAGATAACATCTTTCCAATTCCAGA